TCTTGCTCTAAAGGTGCGAAGCCAGCTGCGGCCACACAGAACGCTGCACGCCAGGCTGGGCTCTTCTGGGGCAACTCCAGCAGGAAGGGCGCCGGGCCCCTGCGACGAGAAGGGCCCACCAATCAACTGCCCCAGAGCCGCCCGGCGTGGCTGGCTCCTTGGGGCTAGCACCCCCCCTCCCACCGGGGTCTTCACACCTGGGTGCCATCAGCCGCAGGGGTGCAGGCAGCCTGGTGGCCTGCACCCTCCTGCAGGCGAGACCCTGCCTGGGAAAACGTGGAAACATCAGCAGCGGGGATTGCCTGGGGGGCTGTTCTGGAGAAGCAACCACCCACTCCGAGACCCACCCCGTCCACCCAACGAGGGCGGGGCACTCCACCAGAACACCATCTGCACGGAATGCCGACACAGCAGTGGAAGCAATGCGCCGCACGAGAACACAGACCCCTCAAACACAAGCCCCAACATGACATCTCCTCTGCAGCCTGAGAGCCAGACAGGGCTGTAGGCGTCGAAGCCCGGCTCCGGCGGAGGGAAGAAATCAGAGTGACCAGCGTGCCGGAGGGGGACGCGGGATTACCAGGGACACAGGACAGCCTCTGTCCCACACGGGCCCCCGCTCCGATAGCAAGCATGTCCGTCACCGCACACCCCGCACTTCCATAATCTTATCTCAGTTCCCACACGATTTAAAAGTTTTAAAAGCACAAATAAAACAACAACAACACCACAGAATAAAACCACACAGATTCCAGGACTTGCCTGACTCTGGCACCAGCAGCTTTCGACACAGCCCCGCTCCCCGCTCGACAGCAAGACGCCCACGCTCTGCTGGCAAGCCGCCCTTCCCCAGTCTGGTCACGGCAGCCCATCTGAGCCAGGGGCTGGCATCGGCGAGGGCCGATGGCTCATGCACGGTACTCCTGGCTCCGGGTCTCCACACAGTGCCCACAGGGAATGGCCTGCTGCAGGGCCGTGGGTGAGCCACATCTGGAGCCCAGCAAGGCCCCTTCGGCTGCCAGGGAACTGGCGGAGGCGTGCTGGCCTGGGAGGGCCCCAGGGCAACACTGGCCTTGGATCGGGCTGGCCCAGCAGTGGAAGCCAGGTCCCCCCTGGTGCAGAGCAAGGTCCAGCACGCTCACGATTCCCACCCTCCAGGAAGAGGCCAGGTGGCCTCCAGTCTTCACACGGCGCTCGCAAAGCCCAACCCCCAAGGGACACTTCCAGCACCTCACACTCAGCCTGATACATGTTATCCAAAACTCTACACACAAGAAAAGCAAATAACATCTCTAAAAAAAACAGAATAAACACACAGCTTCGTAGGCAATTTCCAGAACTATCTGGACTGCCTGGAGCCTGGTGCCAGCAGTTCAACAACAGCCTACCCTACTTGACCCCACTCAACCACAGGCAGAGCAAACACCCTGGGGGAATAATCTGCAACTTCAAAACCAAGGGTGCTTTCTCAACATATAAACAGTCCACCAAATCAATATACTTCACGTAGCATTTTATTAACGTGACGAGGCGGGTTCTAAACACATACCACGATAACGACTAAAAGTTGTCACCATAACAACAAATTAGGGCTTTTTCCCCCCAGAGTCAGGAGCCGTCGCTTGCTTCCAGCTAAATCTTGTCTCCTAGGCTCAAGCAATTCATCCCGCCCAGCTCCCTGATAGCCAGGAGGACAAAGTGTCCCACCCCACTCGGAGCTCCACTCCGGTTCTCACAAGAACTAAGGGTTCCAGTCTGAGGCGCACTAGTGAGCACCCATCTCTACCTAAATACAAGAAAATTACACTGGCCAACTGAAATATATAGAAAATATTAGCTGGGCATTCTGGTGGCGCATGCCTGTAGTCCAGCTACTCGGGACTGAGGCCAGGAGCATCCACCTGAGCCCAGGCTTTGAGGTTGCTGTGAAGCTAGGCTGACGCACGCGCACTCTCACCACGCAACAAGTGAGACTTCCTCTGTCCAAAAAAAAAAAAGAAAAAAAAAGAACGCTCGGCTTGGGGCCAAAGTTTATCCATTGGGTCCGACCTCAGACCTGCAGAAATGTGTGCAGATAACAGAGGCACTTTCCAGTCATTCACCACACATCCAGAGACACTGAACTCACTCACATGAAAAACGAACCATAGGCCCACGGCCACGCGGTGGCTCACGCTGTCAATCCTAGCCTTCTGGGAAGGCCCGAGGCGGGCGGATGCTCAAGTCAGGAGTTCAAAACCACCTGGCAAGACGAGACCCGTCTCTACTATCAATAAAAGAAATTAATGGCCAACCTCGAATATATATATAAAAATTAGCCCGCCATCGGTGGCCATGCCCTTGTCCCAGCTACTGGGAGGGCTGAGGCAGAAGGCTACTCAAGCAGGAGTTTGAGGTTGCGTGACCTAGGCTGACGCCACGGCACTCCTCTACCCTGCAACAAGTGAGACTCCTGTCTCAAAAAAACACAAAACAAAACAAAAAAAAACGACACCACAAATCCATTCGCCCTCACCGTTGGCCGTGGAACAGCTCCAGGAGTCCTCCCTGGCAGGCGCAGGCAACAGGCACTCACACAAACCTGAATGAACCACTGGTATGCCTCTTGGGGACCAATTTGCAGAGCCGCCAACCAAATCGACAGGCATCCCTCTCGCCCAGGGATGCTGCTTCTAGGATCCGGCAGCAGACACTCCGGCGGAGCAGAGCCTGGCAGCGGTGCCGCGCTTGGCGCCGGACTCGGACACCTCCTAGAACCTCCAGGCCCCAGACCCGGGCAGGGCACCACGGGGCGGCACGCACACCACAGCCTAGCCCGACCAGCAGTACACCACCCTGCTACGGCGTCCCTGACCGAAGGTCTGCTCTCGCTCCAACCACAACCCTGTGGTTCCACTCCCAGACAGCAGGGCTGCCCAGGGACACCCGCGATACGGCAGGCAGGACCCGGACCATCCTGAACAGGGCTCCGGGTTGGGACCCAGAGACACTGAGGGCCAGTCGCACGACACAGAACTTCTCCCAGCTGCGCTCGTAGGCACAGGTGTGGGCGGGGAGGACACCCTGACAACAGCTCGCTGACATGGCATCCCCAGCGGTCCCAGAACCAACTTTGCACGTGCCTCTAAGGGGGCGCGTGTCCAGACAGGGTGGGCAGCGCACTTTCTTTCACACTTGCCCTTTGAAACATTTGGAATGTTTTTTCTTAGCCAAATCATTTTATTAGTGATTTATTTATTTTATACTTATTTTTTTGAGACCGAGTCTCACTGTTTGCTTGCCGGCCACAGTGCCATGGCGTTAGCCTACTCACAGCAACCTCAAACTCCTGGGCCAACAGCGATCCTTCCCTGCCACCGTGCTCCAACTAATTTTTTCTATTTTTAGTTGTTTGCTGTGATCTTTCTATCTATAGTAGAGACAGAGTCCTTTGCTCCTGCTCAAACTGGTCTCGAATCCTGAGCTCAAGCAATCCTCCCGCGCCTCAGCCTCCCGCAGTGTTAGGATTACAGCATGACCCACCGCACCTGGCCTACCAGTGATTTTTAAAAGCCACTTTTTTCTAAGTTTGTCTCAAATAAAAGCCTTAAGGATGCAGGGCACAACGTACCCAGGCGAAGCCCCAGCCCCCAGAGCCCAGGGCAGCAGTGCTGGTTTTCCCAAGCATTTATGGTGACAGCGTGGGTGCAAGTGGCAGGGCCACGGGTGGAAGCAGCGTGGTGCAGAGTGGCAGGGGCCCACAGCAGGGCCTGTGCAGCCCCATAGGGACGCAGAAGGACTGGGCTGGGGGCACGGGCACTAGGTCTGCTGGGGGGCATGCAGATGGTCACCTGGGGCCACCCCACCATCTGCCCAATTCCCAGCAGGCCTCCCTGGAGACACCCAAGCACTGGACTTCCAGAAGCCCTGGAGGGGACCCTGTGGTGTGGGCCAGAAGGGGGTCCCAAGGGTCTGTCCCACGGGGCGCAGCACCAGCTGGGCTGGGCCCTGACGAGAGGCTCCAGAAACCGGGGAGAGGTGGGGGAAGGGGAGGAAGAACATGGGTGGAAGAGGCAGAGAGGAGGGAAGGGGGGTGGGGTGGCGGTGGCCCTCCTGGACCCAGAACACCATGTGCCTAAGCTTCCGGGAATTGCTGTCACACTGGACCTGGGCCCTCCCACACAGCACCTTGTGACAAGCCATGGCCCCCAAGGCCACAGCAGAGCTCTGGCGGCAGAGGAGGGAGGGGACCACCAAAACACAGCCGGCCAGGCCAGGAACTTCCCCCGGCCAGGGCTGGGCCGTGGCCTCAGTAAACAGGTTTCAAAACCATTAGTCAGCAACTTTGGCCGCAGATTTGCTGCCCCGGTTCCTGGTCCCCAAGCCGGGTGTCCAGGCTCCCAGCCCTGCCCGCGCCTGGGCCCCGGGGACTTGGGGACGTCGTGGGAAGGCAGGTAGAATGGCTTGCCTTCTGGGGCCAGCCAGGCCTGGCCCAAGGTGGCCTCATCAGCTGTAGCCGCCTCCCGTGCTGGCCAGCCCAGCCCTCTGCCAGCAAGAAGGAATCTCCTCAGCCCCTCCCCCTCCTCTGACGCAGGGAGAGCGTGGCCAATGCCAGCCCACTGGAGCAATGTCAACAAACAAACAGCCTCAGACAGGTGGGCCAGGCTGGCAGGACTGACGGACCTAGGCCACAGCCACCAGACTCAGTCAGGGCCACTGGGGCAGACACCCAGGGGAGGGAGAGCCTCCACCTGCCACGCTGCAGCCAGTCCCCACGGGGTCAGGGTAGGTCAGGGCAGCTGGCCACCGGAGGCAGCCCCCCCAGGCAAACAGCTGGAGGCCTCGGGACTCCAACACCGAAGGACACCCAAGCCCCAGACAGGGCAGGGATGGGGCTCCGGGTCCCCATAAGGCCTCAGACCTGGGCAGGCCAGATGCCCTGTCTCTGCACTCGGACACCAGCCCCTCCCACTGTCCCCTGCCCACCCCATCCCCAGCAGACGCCAGTCCAGGGGCCTTACCTGGAAGTCATACAACGCCACGATGTTTTCGTGTTTCAGCTCCTAGGACAGAAAGCCAGTGGGGTGAGCAGGTGTGGGCTCGCCCACCACCTCCCTGCCTCCCTGCCTGCCTGCCTGCCCCTCCCGCCCTCCCCCACCCAGCCAGCTCACCTTCAGGATCTTGATCTCCTTCCCCAGCAGCGTCTGGGACTTGGCAAGATTCTTCTTATTAATGCACTTGACTGCGACCTCCAGATCATGCTTCTGAAAACCCAACAGGGACTTTCAGCGCCAGATGCCCCTGGCAAGCCTTCGCCAGACCAAGTGCACAGAGTGGGCCCAGGGGTGCCAGGGTGGGGTTCTGGGGTGCAAGGCCCAGGATGGGGACCAAGGCTGAGGGTTTGGGGATGGGGATCCAGACTTGGATCCCAAGTTTGAGTCAAGCTGGGAATCCGGGCTGGGGACCTCAGTGGGGATCTGGCTGGGGATTGGGTTGGGGGTCCTGGTGGGGATCCAAGCTGGGGAGCCCGGGCTGGGGGTCCTGGTTGGGATCAGGCTGGGGATCTGAGCTGGGGGTCCCAGGTGTGAATCCGGACTGAGGGCCCAAGCTGGGGACCCCAGTGGGTTATCTGGGCTGGGGCTCCTGGGTGGGGGGCCCAGGTCGGGACACAGACTGGGGGCCCCGGTGGGGATCTGGGCTGGGGGTCCCAGGTGTGAATCCGGACTGAGGGCCCAAGCTGGGAACCCCAGAGGGGATCCCAGGTGGGGCTCCTGGGTGGGGGGCGCAGTTGGGGATACGGACTGTTGGCCCCGGTGGGGATCTGGGCTGGGGGTCCTGGGTTGGGTCCCAGGTGAGGATCCCGACTTGGGGTTCCGGTGGGGATCCGGGCAGGGGGTCCTGGGTGGGATCCGGGCTGGGGGCCCCGGTGGGGATCCGGGCTGGGGGTCCAGGCTGGGGCCTCACCTCGCGGTGGCGCCCCTTGAAGACCACAGCGAAGGCGCCGTGCCCGATCAGGTCCTTGCGTGAGAACTCGAACTTGCCCACGATCTCCGTGCCGCCGCGGCCGGGCTCCATGGCGCGCGCGGGCCGCGGGGGGCGGGCCGAGGGGGCGGCGGGCCGGGCGCGCAGGCGCAGGGCGGCGGGGCGGCGGCCGGGGGCGCGGGGCGGGGCGCGGCGGGGCGGGCGAGCCGCATCGCCCGGGGGCGCGCCCCCCTCGGCAGCCGGGGCCGGGTCCCAGCCCCGCGGGCCGGGCGGGGTCGCGAAGGCCGCGCTCCTCCGGCGAGTGTGTCGCGGCGGCCCCCGGCGCTGCTGATCCGGATCCCGACCCGACCCTCACGGCGGTTTCAACTCGGTTCGGGTCGGCCCGGCCGGGAAACAAAAGAGCCGCTGCGCTCGGGCCTCTGAGCCCAAGACGCCGGCGCAGCCGCAGTGCGCGCCGGGCCGGGGGCGGGGCCGAGCCTGCGGGGGCGGGGCCAGGAGGGGGCGGGGCCGGACGGGCGGGCTCGGGAGGGCGGCACAGCCAGCGGGGGAGGAGTCTGGCTTGGCGGAGGCGGGTCCCGCCGAACCCGCAGGGGCGGGGCCTGAGCGTGGGGCGGGGCCTGCTGGCGGGGCGGGGCCAATGGGACCTGCAGGGGCGGGCCTGCGGGCGGGTGGGCGTGGCCGAGGGTCGAGGTCCCGGCCCTGCCCCGAGGCGCCCTCCGCGGCCGTTGCGGGGTGCGCTCAGCTGTGCGCTCTGCCGCTGCGGCCCTTGTGCTCCCTGGGCCAGGGAGTGGAGGTCAAAGGGTGGAGGTCAGAGAGTAGAGGTCATGCGAGGAGGAGCCGTCCGGGTAGGGGGCGGCGCACGCTGTGCCACCCATGGTGCCACCGAGTCTCAGACGGCCGCGCGCGCAGACTCGCGAGCTAGTCCCCGCCGCCCGCACGGACACGAGCTCCTTTACTCCCCACGGGCCCACGCGAAAACCGAGGCCCAGGAAGTTACGCAGTGTCCAGTGTCACACGGCCAGCGGGGACAGGGACAGGCTTGTCACACAACTACACACTGTCGCAGCGCTGGCCTTGGGAGAGTCAGCCCTGCCTGTGCACGTCCTGCGTTAGTGTGCGTGATTTTTGTAGGATGTGCAAGTGTCGCTTTTAGCAACCTCCTAATTCTTATTTTTTTTTTTTTAAGACAAGGTCTCGCTGTGGCCCAGGCTGGTCTGGACCTCCTGGCCTCGAGGGATCCCCCGGCCTGCACCTCCCAAAGTGATAGGATTAATAGGATTACAGGCCCGGGCCACCTCACCAGGCCAAATGCACAATTCTAGACAAGCCTCTCCACCCCACCCAGGGCCGGGAGCTTCAGGCCAGGGCTCCCTTGCTGCCTCCCAGAGCTGCCCAGCCACTGGGTCTTCTTTTTCTTTTGTAATTTCTATTTTTATTTATTTCTGCACTCTGCGGGGAACAGCCACTGGAGCTTCACCCTAATTTCAATGAGAAGATTACAAAGAGGCCAGATGGGATTTGCATTTGGAGAAATTTAGTGGACCCACTGAAGGAGGAAGGTGTATTTAAATAGAAACACACCCATCATAATTATATACGATTTTTACTCGCCAATTAAAATAAATAATAAATGCTAAATCACAAAACTAAACACAGAGAGTAAGGGAACCACCAGGTTGCCTGAGGTGGAGTGAACGAGCCCAGGTCAGAAACATGGCAGGTCAAAACTGCCTAGCTGATTAGCAGCGAACCCTGCCTGTGGAGAGCCCTTGCACCCAAGCCTGACAACACAGCACGACTCTATCTTCTTTTTTTTTTTTTTTGAGACAGAGTCTCACTTTGTTGCCCAGGCTAGAGTGAGTGCCATGGCGTCAGCCTAGCTCACAGCAACCTCAATCTCCTGGGCTCAAGCGATCCTACTGCCTCAGCCTCCCGAGTAGCTGGGACTATAGGCACGTGCCACCATGCCCGGCTAATTTTTTCTATATATATTAGTTGGCTAATTAATTTCTTTCTATTTATAGTAGAGACGGGGTCTCGCTCTTGCTCAGGCTGGTCTGCAACTCCTGACCGTGAGCTATCCACCCGCCTTGGCCTCCCAGAGTGCTAGGATTACAGGCATGAGCCACCATGCTTGGCCCCCTATCTTCTTTTATAAAAAAAAAAAAGGTGCCCAGGCGTGGTGGTTCACCCCTGTAATCCTAGCACTCTGGGAGACCGAAGCAGGTGGATTGCTCGGGGTCAGGAGTTCAAAACCAGCCTGAGCAAGAGTGAGACCCCCGTCTCTACTATAAATAGAAAGAAATTAATTGGCCAACTAATATATATACAAAAAATTAGCCGGGCATGGTGACACATGCCTGTAGTCCCAGCTACTCGGGAGGCTGAGGCACGTGGATCCCTTGAGCCCAGGAGTTTGAGGTTGCTGTGAGCTAGGCTGACGCCACGGCACTCACTCTAGCCTGGGCAACAAAGGGAGACTCTGTCTCAAAAAAAAAAAAAAAAGGTTATATATATTGATCGACTGATGAGAATGAGACAAGATGGTTGTGTGGTTGTGGAAACCTAACCCCGCATTTCTCCTAGGAGCAATGGTTCAGCATCCGTTAATTCGCCGTTAGTGGCAGCTTTATAGAGAGAGGCTACCACAAAGAATGGGAACCCGCTGTACTTCCTGCGTGCCAGGCAACACTCTTGCAGGAAGTAACTCTCACGCCCACATCAACCCCAGAGGTAGATTCCTGTCCTTACTCTGATTTAACAGAAGACACTGAGGGACAGAGAAGTGATTCACCCAAGATCACACAGCTGGGAAGTGGCAGCTCTAGAATTTAAACCAAGCAGTCTGTAGAATGGAACCTCTCACTCCCTGCCCTCCCAGGTCCCCAAGCCTTCCAAGGCAAGGGCTGAATCTCGTTCATATCTGGGCCTCCAGCTCCCAGCCTCAGGCCCAAAATGCAGCGGAGAAACTTATTGCAAAGGAGTTGAATGAAGACAAGAATACCCCCTCCATTCTCCTCTTCCCGCTCAGCCTCCCTCCCTCAGCACCAGCCCACCCAGACTGGCTCCCTGCTGCGGCCACCTTCCACAATGCCATGGCAGACAGGTGTCATCTCAGAGAGACCCAGGGTGGCTCCCCAGAGCCGCTGAGAACCCTGCAGGCTCTGCAGTGTTGGCCACAGGTGCCTGTGGCATTTCTCTAAATGGTTACTGATACTGAGTATGCTTTCATGTGTTCATTGGCCATGTGTGTATATTCTTTAGAACATATCTGTTCAAGTGCTTTACACATTTTTAAATTTTTTGTTGTTGAGATGTAGTTCCTTTTACATACTCTGGGTATTAACTGCCTGGCTTTGTAAATAAAGTTTTGTTGCAACCCAGCCCCACACACTGGCTTCTTTGTTACATTGTCTGTGCCTTCCCTTGGGCTGTAACTGCAGACCTGAGTGGTTGCAACTGTATGGCCACAAAGCTGGAAATAGGTACTCTCTGGCCCTTTGCAGAGTTTGCCGACCCCGTCTTAGTTCTTTTTTTTCTCTTAAGAGACAGGTTCTCCATCACCCAGGATGGAGTGCAGTGGTGCTCACTCTAACCTCCTGCTCCTGTGCTCAATCTACCCAGAACCGTATTTGCCGTTTCGCTGCTCCTTAGAGGCCAGGCCCCTTCGCGTTCCAACCAGCACTTTGGGAAAGTGGAGGCAAGGGACCCCGCTTGAGGCTAGAAGTTCGAGACCGCCCTGGGCCAAATTAATGAAATGAGACCCCTTCCTTGCTTCACAATAATAAAAATTAAGCCCAGGCCAATTGCTTGTGCCCAGGAGTTGGGAAAAGTCGGGAGGCTTGCCATTGAGCTTATGAGCATGGTCCACTGCCGCTCTAGCCCAGGCACAACAGAGAAGACCTTGGTTCTCAAAAAAAGAAAAAGACTTTTATTGACAACAAACAAGGAGAGTGCAGTGAATGCTCACTAAGACTAACTCACTTCTACCACCGCACACATTCTAATTCTTAGGGGAAAACACTACAACACTTTCCTGTAACCCATCAAACCTGAAGTACCAAAAAGCGAAAAGACGATAAAACAATATTAGCACACGACGCGGGAACTCCTTGTCTCAAAGTCTAATTTTTTTGAGACACCAGGATCCTGCCACCTTGGTTCTGAACGGCTATACATGCCGTGGCGCTTCAACCCTGCTCCACCAACCTCTGCCTCCTGAGAAACCCCGGACCCCTACAGTTGGTACCGGCCCCCACTCTCAACTCTGGGCTCAGACAATCCCGCTCCTCACCGAACTGGACTACAGGCATGCGGCCCCGTGCCCGGCTAATTGTTGTGATATATGATATTTTTTAGTGGCCAATTAATCTTTGCCTCATTATTTTTTATAGAAAATGTTCCCAGTGGGTCGACCAGTCTGCAGGGGGAAAATATATAACAACAAGTGTCCCAGCTCCGGGAAAAACGTTAAGCATTTTACAGGGCGTGCAACCCAACTCAGCTCGTTTGGGGGTTCAGAAGCCGCCGAACCGCTGCTATCACTCGTCGCTCTCCCCCTCAGATGCCGGTCCCCTCCTGATACTCTCGCACTGTGGCCTGTCAAACCATCTCTTCCGTCTCCCTATGGATCCAACCCATTCCCCCAGAAATATTCCGATACAAAATTCAAATGCGTCACCACAATACGGCCCTTCACCTTCCTGACACGCTTATCCCTCGATTGGCTCAGAGACCGACCAACTCCCCACAATATTATTTATTTTATTTATTGCATACCTCCCTAGATTTGTTACAATGATATTTTTTTTAGAACCAAATCTTGTATGTACCCCAGTTCTCGGTGTGATCTAAATTTATGCCACGACCTGCTAGCCCAAGTAGCCACAAATTACTCTCCACCGCCCTTGAAGCTTACACGCCCACCAATTCTTCCGTCCGGACCCGCGAATGAAGATTCTCCGACTCCACCTCCCTAAAACTGATCTGGCACGGAAGGAGTCAGACAATGCCTCATCATCCCTCTTGAAAACACTCCTTTTAACTCATTAAAGCCGATGCTAGCATGACACACCTCATCCCAATTACATAACAAATAAATGGCGTTAGCTTATCTCTGATTTACAGACTTCCTTATCTTCCCTCAAAACCTTCTGAGCCTTTAGACAAAGCTTCCTTTCTTTAACCAATTACAAGTCAAAGAGTCTTTAAACCCACCTATAACCCTTTGAGATGTCCCAAGTTTTTGGGCCAAACCAATGTCCACCTCCCACGTTTTGATTGATGACTTTACCTGTAAACTCTATTGCCCGGAATTGTATACAACCAAACTGTAACCCA